TTAGTAGAGATGCGGTTTCACCATGTTGGCCAGGCTGGTCTGGAACTCCTGACCTTGTGATCCGCCCACCTCGGCCTCCCAAAGTGCTGGGATTACAGGCGTGAGCCACCGCGCCCGGCCTATACCTCCACTTTCATAATAAAAAGCAGTAGGACTTTTCCATTTGTGAGGTTCAAGTAACTGTTTGTGGAAGCGCCTCAGAGCTGATGAACGAACCCCACCACCCGCCCATGTCAGGAGCGGATGAGAGGGAAGAACCACACAGAGAGCGTGGCCCACTCATGCCGCAGGATGAGGGAGGAGGAGGAGGACGGGAGTGACCCCTCGGGAGCCGCTGTGTGACAGAGGACAGGCCAACCCATCTCCTTAGCTCTCACACTCGCCGGTAAGGTCTCCTAGGTGACATAAACCACGAACACTTTTCTCTAACCCTTAAGAGACAGAGGCCAGGCCAAAGAGTGCATGTGTAAAAAGCAGTGACAAGTGAAGTCAAGAAATGTCACTGAGCAGGGGAGGGCGCCAATTTGCCAAGGACGCCCATTTGCAGAAGTCAGCCACAAAAGGACAAGGCGTCCGGGCGCAGTGCCTCACGCCTGCCATCCCAGCACTGTGGGAGGCCGAGGCGGGTGGACCACCTCAGGTCAGGAGTTCGAGACCAGCCTGGCCAACAGGGTGAGACCCCGTCTTTACTGAAAATACAAAAATTAGCCATGCGTGGTGGCGAGTGCGTGTAGTCCCAGCTACTTGGGAGGCTGAGGCAGGAGAATTGCTTGAACCTGGAAGGCAGAGGTTGCAGTGAGCCGAGATTGTGCCACTGCACTCCAGCCTGGGCAATGGAATGAGACCATGTCTCAAAAGGACAGGCCAGGTGTGGTGGCTCAGGCATATAATCAGAGCACTTTGGGAGGCCAAGGTAGGTGGATCACCTGAGGTCATCGTCTCAGTCCCCTGTAAAAGGCACCAGCCACTGGCCAGGCTCAGCCTATAATCCCAGCGCTTTGGGAGGTCGAGGCGGGTAGATCTCCTGGGGTCAGGAGTTCAAGACCAGCCTGGCCAACATGGTGAAATCCCATCCCTACTAAAATTACAAAACTTAGCCAGGTGTGGTGACGTGCGCCTGTAATCCCAGCTACTCAGGAGGCTGAGGCAGGAGAATCGCTTGAGCCTGGGAGGTGGAGGCTGCAGTGAGCCAAAATGGCGTCACTGCACTCCAGCCTGGGCAACAGAGGGAGACTCTGTCTCAAAGAAAAAAAAAAAAAAAAGCACCAGCTCCCAAGCCCACAGGAGACCAGGCACAACCTTCTTGTAAGAAACCGCAAAGCGTCTTCGAAAATACAAATGACGCAGCGGCTGTGATTTTAAAGCCCATTGCTGTTTCCACATGCGACTGAAAAAAATCCAAACACCGTCTTGAATGAAGAAAGGAGTGTTTTTACGCTACTACTCGGCGAACAAGAAAAATGCCTCCATTCAGTAAACACGAAGCTGAATTGTCTGTGCGTGAGGGTAATTCTGTTTAGTTCTCTCTGCCGTCAAACAATGGGGGCCCAGGGTTTACTAAGCGTGAAACAAGAACAGAAAATAGCGGTGTTGGTCAAAGATGCTTTCTAAATAAAGCTCCTCTGTGAGATCCAGACGCACCTGCAGAAATCCAGCTTCGTTGGAAGCTTCATGTTCCACGTTAAAACCAGGAAAGCACATTGCAAACTCTGACACCTTCCAGTGCCTGTAACTGACAAGCTCATCCCACCTTCTAAATCAGCATTAAGTGTTCAAAAGCCACACAAAAGACCCACGTCAAAATGAGTAGGCATTTCTTTTTTTTTTTTTTTGAGATGGAGTTTTGCTCCTGTTGCCCAGGCTGGAGTGCAGTGGCATGATCTCGGCTCACCGCAACCTCCACCTCCTGGGTTCAAGTGCTTCTTCTGCCTCAGCCTCCCAAGTAGCTAGGACTACAGGTGTGTGCCATCATGCCCAGCTAATTTTTGTATTTTTAGTAGAGACGGAGTTTCACGATATTAGCCAGGCTGGTCTCGAACTCCTGACCTCAAGTGATCCACCCACCTCAGCCTCCCAAAGTGCTGGGATTATAGGCACAAGCCACCTCGCCTGGCCTGGAGGTGAGGTCTTTAAGGGAGAAAATAAATCAGTTTTGTCTATAACAAGGGTGCCCCACTGGAGTGTTTCTGTCCCCACCAGACACTGGGTGATATCTGGTGACATCTGTGTTTGTCACAATGCGGGGAGCTCCTGGCATGGAATAGTGGAGGCCAGGGACACTGCTGAGCACCCTGCAGTGCCCGGAAGGCCCCACCCCAGAGAACAACCAGACCCCAAACGTCCACAGTGCTGGGATGGAGACACCCAAATCCATCCCACGAGCTCAAGGTGTAAACTCACAAATTTTGAGCGTGTAATCACAGCCTGATGTGGTTCCTTATGGGGTACCCCTAAATCAGAATGACCCAGGCAGGCTTCTCTTAAACACGTGCATTTGTTCCTTGATGAGCCTTGAGAATCTCCTGCCACCAGGTGTGCACAGAGTCTTCTTCCTTTTCAGGTTTTTACTTACTTTCAATAACATGGAGACAGGTTGGGCACGGTGACTCACGCCTGTAATCCCAGCACTTTTGGAGGCCGAGGCAGGTGGATCACCTGAGGTCAGGAATTCGAAAGCAGCCTGGCCAACATAGGGAAACCTTGTCTCTACTAAAAATACAAAAATTAGCCAGGCATGGTGGCGCACGCCTGTAGTCCCAGCTACTTGGGAGGTGGAGGCAGAGAAATCCCTTGAACCCGGGAGGCAGAGGTTGCAGTGAGCCGAGACGGCACCACTGCACTCCAGCCTGGGCGACAGAGCGAGACTCTGTCTCAAAATAATAATAACAGTAATAACAAGGAGACATATTTTTGTTGTTGTTGCAGATTCTTTTTTTTTAGACAGAGTCTCACTCTATCTCCCAGGCTGGAGTGCAGTGGTGCCGTCTCGGCTCACTGCAATCTCTGCCTCCTGGGTTCAAGAGATTCTCCTGTCTCAGCCTCCTGAGTAGCTGGGATTACAGGTGCCTGCCCCACGCCTGGCTAATTTTTGTATTTGAGCTCCTGACCTCAGGTGATCCACCTGCCTCGGCCTCCCAAAGCGCTGGGATGACAGGTGTGAGCCACTACAACCAGCCAAGCTGATTCTCTTTTAAAGTTTCTGAGGTGACCCTGCTGTGTGCGCATAAGGTTGCAGGACTCGACTCAGGTTCCAGTCACCTCCTTTCCCCTCCTCTGTGACAACCCAGTCATTCTGCTCCTCCACCTCAAACCCACCCCAAGAAATAACTAGATTGAGTACATGATGCTCCACGCTTCAGAGACCCCCACTATGTGCTAAGAAACACTCAGTGCGTACATTCCGTAAGTTCACCCCAAGAGGCACGTGCTATTGTTTTTATTATTCCGGCTTTGCGGCGGAGTAGACGGGGACTCCAAAAGTTGATACGGCCCACCCAGCATGGAGAGGCAGGGTCAGAACACACAGGCGCATCTCCCAGAGCCCCACAACGCTCCATCAAGGCAGGACAGCAGCATCCCACGAGGAGAACACGTTTGTGAACTTGGCATTTGCCTCGCTGACACCTAGCAACCGTGTGAAGACGCTTCGCTGGGGATCCGCTGCCTCTGTTCATCAAGCCTGTCTTCCACCACCCACCTCCCAGGCCCTAGCAACCCCCGTTCCCCAGGAAAAATACAGTGCCACCCACGTCGCTCAATATCACCATCCCAAAAACTCCCACTTCAGTTCCTGAAAAATTCAGTCACCGACAGGAGACTTTCTCCTTCCTGAAGCATTCTCCTTGGCACCCTATATCCTAGAAATAAACCTCAAAAAGTATTCCGAACTCCCGTCTCCTTCAGCTCGCTGTTCCCGAGGGGTTCTGCCCCGTGCCCAGTTCTAGGGCAAACAATTAACATCTCCCCCAAAAGCAGAGGGGTGAGTTCTCTCTAAACTCCTTTTAACTGGATCCGACCTGAGACACCCCCTCACCCTGTTTTCCTCCTGATTAGATGATAGCTGGCAAAACACCTGGGACCTCACCCCCCCTTCTCACCATCCCCCCCCAACTTCCTTCTCCCTGAAACCCCTCCAGCCCACACACACGCAAGCTCCCAATTTCCCCTGATAGCCCCCACGTCCCTTCTGGAACGAGCCTGACCCCACCTGTATGCTCACCCCAACTTTGTCCTTCTGCCCCGTTGCAGCTAATCCTAACCCCGGGCCATCAATCAACGGCCCCCCCATCTCCACCAGCCACATTCCTCAGTCCTCTCCCCAGACAACCAGACAACCTCAGCCTCTAATTCCTTCTGCAGCCCCTTCTCCAACAACCCCACTTCAAACTCCATCCCCAGCCCCCTCCCCAGCTAACTCGTACCTCCAATCCCACCCCAAGCCCCCTCCCCAGCTAACCTCGACCTGAGATTCTAGCCCCCTCCCCAGCAAACTCAAGACCTCCAATTCCAGCCCAGCTCCTCCCTAGTTAACCTGGACCTGCAACTACAGCCACCTCCCCAGCTAACTCAGACCTCCGAACCCACCTCTAGCACCCCCTCAGCTAACCTTAACACGCCACTCCAGCCCCCTCGCCAGATAACTTAGACCTCCAAAATCACCCCCAGACCCCTCCTCAGCTAAAGACCTCCAATCCCACCTCCAGCCCCCACCAGCTAACCTGGACCTGCAACTCCGGCCCCCTCCCCAGCTACCCCTCATGCCCAAGTGCAGTCTCAATCCCCAGCCCAGCCCTTCCCCAGCTAACCTCAACCCCCAAGCGCAGCCCCGTCCCCAATTCCAGCCCCAACCTCCAAGTGAAGCGCGGGTCCCCAGCCCCCTCCTCAGCGGACCCCGACCCCCAACTCGGTCCGCACCCAAATGGGAGCCGTCCCACTCCCCTCTCCCGGACGCCGGACGCGCCCTCAGCTCCCTCGCCGCGCGGATCGCGTGAGCTCCTTACCTGCGCTCGGGCCCCGCGGCCGCCTCTGCCCCGCCGCGCAGCCGAACCCGCCGCCCCGGCCCGCGAGCGCTCGCTCCCCTCTGCGGGGGCGGGGCCGACACTCGGCGGGGCGGGCCCTGGCGTCCCCGCACGACCAATCGCGAGCCCTGGCGGCGGGAGGCCGGAGCGGGGGCGGGGCGCGGGGCAGGCAGCGGGGTAGGCTGCGCCCAGGCGAGCGGGGCGGGGCTCCAGGCGCGGGCGGGGCCGAGGGCGGGGCGAGGAGCGCCTTTCCAAGGGTGACTTCGTGACGTCAGGGAAGCGCGAGGCGGTTCCTGAGTTCGAATCCCGCGCTCGGGGAGCGGGTGCGACTCCTGCAGGCCAGCTCCGGGGTCTCATTCGCGGGGGAAGAATGACAGTGATCATCACTGCTGCTCCGCTTTCTTGAAGATTTTATAGACTCCCTCGCGTGGAACACCTGCGTAAAGCCAGAAGGCACGATTATTATCCCGGTTTTATAGAGGTAGAAGCTGGGCCTCAGCGAGGTGAGACCTAATGGCGTTTGCCCAAGCCCGTCTTATCATTTCCAAGGTTTTTCAGTTTCTGAACTCATGGGCCTGGATCTTAAAACACACATTCTTGGGCCCCAACCGAAATGAAATGATACAGAATCCTGTAGGGAACTGGACCCTGGAATCGGCGTTTTGTTTTGTTTTTGACACAGGGTCTCACTCAATTGCCAGCATGGAGTGCAGTGGTGCAACCACAGCTCACTGCAGCTTTGAACTCCCAGGCTCAAGCAGTCCTTCCGCCTCAGCCTCCCGGGTAGGTGGGGCCACAGGCACACACCACCACACCCGGCTAACTTTTTTTTTTTTTTTTTTTTTTTTTTTTTTATTGAGATGGAGACTTGCTCTGTCACCTAGGCTGGAGTGCAGTGGCATGATCTCGGCTCACTGCAACCTCCATCTCCCAAGCTCAAGTGATTCTTCTGCCTCAGCCTCCTGAGCAGCTGCGACTACAGGTGCCCACCACCACACCGAGCTAATTTTTGTATTATTAGTAGAGACAGAATTTCACCATTTTGGCCAGGCTGCTCTCGTACTCCTGACCTCAGGTGATTCACTAACCTCAGCTCCCAAAGTGCTGGGATTACAGGTGTGAATCATTGTGCCCAGCCCTGGCTAATTTTTTTTTTTTTTTTTTTTTTTTTTAAAGAGCTGGGGTCTGGCCAGGTGCAGTGGCTCACACCTGTAATCCCAGCACTTTGGGAGGCTGAGTCGTGTGGATCATTTGCAGTTAGGGGTTCAAGACCAGCCTGCCCAACATGGTGAAACCCTGTCTCTACTAAAAATACAAAAAAATTAGCCAGTCATGGTGGCACATGCCTGCAGACCGAGCTACTCAGGAGACTGAGGCAGGAGAATTACTTGAACCAAGGAGAAAGAGGTTGCAGTGACCGGAAATCGCACCACTGCACTCCAGCCTGGGAGACAGAGCCAGACTCCACCTCAAAAAAAAAAAAAAAAAAAAAAAAAAACAGAGAGAGAGAAAAAAAAACAGGGTCTTGCTATGTTGCCCAGGCTGGTCTTGAATTCCTGGGCTCAAGTGATCCTCCTGCCTCTGCCTCCCAAAACGCTAGGTTCACAGACCTTGAATCTGCATTGTTCACAAGCTCCCTTGGGGATATCGGGAAACACTTGCTATGTCTCCAAAAGTGGCACACAGCCCTGGAAGGAAGATGGAGCCACCATACTCAGTGACCTCAGGGACTCTGTCCAGTGCTGACACTGTGTGTCCTCACCGCCCCACCTGGGCCCTGAGATTGGAGCTGCTGCCTGGCATCCAAGATCAACTTCCCCAGGCTCCTGTCATCCCTGCAGGAACCTCCCGGCTCAACCTCTGGGCTCCAGTGGACTGCCCTGCGGGGCACAGAGAAACCTCCGTCTCCCGGCCTGCTCTCCCCCAAGGCTCTCCCCAGCCGACATCCCCCAAGAGAAATGACTGTCTAAATAGAGCTTGAGAAGGGCACGGTGGCTCACGACTGTATTCCCGGTGCTTTGGGAGGCTGAACCAAGAGGGTCACTTGAGCCCAGGAGTTCAAGACCAGCCGGGCAACATAATGAGACCCCCCCAACCTTACCAAAAAAATGTTAAATATAGGCTGGGCGCAGTGGCTCATGCCTGTAATACGAGCATTTTGGGAGGCCGAGATGGGCGGATCATGAGGTCAGAAGATCGAGACCATCCTGGCCAACACGGTGAAACCCTGCCTCTACTAAAAATATTAAAAAATTAGCTGAGCGTGGTGGTACAGGCCTGTAGTCCCAGGTACTTAGGAGGCTGAGGCAGGAGAATCACTTGAACCTGGGAGGCAGAGGTTGTAGTGAGCTAAGATCGCACCACTGCACTCCAGCCTGGCAACAGAGTAAGACTCCGTCTCAAAACAAACAAACAAACAAAAACAAAAAAACGGGATTAGCCAGGTGTGGTGGCATACACTTGTAGTCCCAGCTACTTGAGATGCCAAGGCAGGAGGATCGCTTGAGCCTGGGAGGCTGAGGCTGCAATAAGCTATGATTGAGCCACTGCACTCCAGACTGGGCAACAGTGAGACCACGTCTCAAAAAAAAATGTGTTATATACACAAGGGAATATTATTCAGCCATAACAAAGAATGAAATCCTGTCATTTGCAGCAAAATGGATGGATGGGACTAGAGGTCATCATGCTAAGTGAAAAACTGAAATAAGGGCTAGGCACAGTGGCTCACGCCTGTAACCCCAGCATTTTGGGAGGCCAAGGCGGGTGGATCACCTGAGGTCAGGGGTTCAAGACCAGCCTGACCAACATCATGAAACCCTGTCTCCACTAAAAACACAAAAATTAGCCAGGCATGGTGGCACGTTTCTGTAGTCCCAGCTACTTGGGAGGCTGAGGCAGGGGAAGGCCTTGAACCCAGGAGGTGGGGGTTGCAGTGAACTGAGATAGTGCCATTATACTTCAGCCTAGGCAATAGAGCAAGACTCTGACTCAAAAAAAAAAAAAGTGAAATAATCCAAATACAGCATGGTGTCACTTATACTTGGGAGCCAGAGAGTTGATCTCACGGAGGTAGAGTATAAAATGCTCAGTAGCAGAGGCTGGGAAGGTTGTGTAGGCTGGCTGTGGGAAATGGAAAGAGCTGAGTTAGTGCAAACCTTCAGTTAGACAGAAGGAATGAATAGGGTGACCGTAGTTAGCAACAATGTATCATATCTTTCAGAACAGTCAGAGGAAAGGTGGCTCATGCCTATAATCCCAACACTTTGGGAAGCCAAGGCAGGAGAATTCCTGGAGGGCAGGAGTTCAAGACCAGCCTGGGCAACATAGCGAGACCTCATCTGTATTTAATCAAAATTGTTTTGAATTTTTTTAAAAAAGGTAGAAGAGAGATCTTGAAATGTCCCCAACATATAGAAATAAGAAATAGTCTAAGTTACGAACACTCCAAATACCCTAACATGACCATTACAGATTGTATGTGTGTAACACGGATCACATGTACCCCATACATATATATACATACTTGTAACAATTTTGAAAAAGTGTCATGTGAAACCACGTTGGAGACTAAGGCAAATGGAAAAGTGGGCATATCCCCATAGACATATTTTCACATATCTTTTCCCATCAATTTCCTTTTTTATTATTATTAGTTTTTGAGACAGAATCTTGCTCACCCAGGCTGGAGTGCAGTGGTGCAAACTCAGCTCAATGCAACCGCTGCCTCCCCAGTTCAAGCGACTCTCCAGCCTCAGCCTCCCAAGTAGCTGAGATTACAGACACCCAGCACCACACCTAGCTAAGTTTTGTATTTTTGTTTTTTGAGATGAAGTTTTGCTCATGCTGCCCACTGTGGGGTGCAGTGGTGCGATACCAGCTCACTGCAACCTCCACCTCCTGGGTTCAAGCGAGTCTCCTGCCTCAGCCTCCCAAGTAGCTGGGATTACAAGCATGCACCACCACACCTGGCTAATTTTGTATTTTTGGTAGACATGGGGTTTCTCCATGTTGGTCAGGCTGGTCTCAAACTCCTAACCTCAGGCGATCCACCCATCTTGGCCTCCCAAAGTGGTGGGATTACAGGTGTGAGCCACTACACCTGGCCAATTTTTGTATTTTTAATAGAGGTGGAGTTTCACCACGTTGCTCAGGCTGGTCTTGAACTCCCGACCTCAGGTGATCCACCCACCTTGACATCCCGAAGTGCTGGAATTATAGTCGTGAACCACTGGGCCTGGCCCCTTGTTTTTGTTTGTTGGGTATTCATTGTTGTTGATGATGTTGTTTAGAGACAGATGTCACTCTTTCGCCAGGCTGGAGTGCAGTGGCGGGATGTCAACTCACTGCAACCTCCACCTCCCGGTTCAAGCAATTCTCCTGCCCCAGCCTCCTAGCTGGGATTACAGGTACCCAGCACCATGCCCAGCTAATTTTTGTGTTTTTAGTAGAGACGGGTTTCACCATATTGGTCAGGCTGGTCTCAAACTCCTGACCTCGTGATCTGCCTGCCTTGACCTCCCAAAGTGCTGGGACTACAGGCATGATCTACTGTGCCCAGTGAGTTATGTCTTTTTAAATGTTTTCTTTTGAGATGGGGTCTTGCTAGGTAGCTCAGGCTGGTTTTGAACTCCCGGGTTTAAGTAATCCTTCTGCCTCAGCCTCCTAAAGTGCTGGGATTACAGGCATGAGCCTGCTTTTTTTTTTTTTTTTTTTTTGAGACAGAGTCTCACTCTTTCGCCTGGCTGGAGTGCAATAGCACGATCTCGGCTTACTGCAACCTCTGGTTCCCAGGTTCAAGCAATCCTCCTGCCTCAGCCTCCCAAATAGCAGAGATTACAGTCACATGCCACCATGCCCAGCTAATCTTTTGTATTTTTAGTAGAGATGGGGTTTCACCATGTTGGCCAGGATGGTCTCGGTCTCTTGACCTCGTGATCCGCCTGCCTTGGCCTCCCAAAGTGCTGGGATTACAGGCATGAGCTACCACGCCCAGCCAAGCCTGTATTTTTTAATG